AAATGAGTCTCTGATAACTTTGTGGAGAGAGTACCAGAGCTTAGGGACATAACAGGAGAAGGCCCTGTCACCCATAGAGTGTAGATGAGCAGCCATATCACCCTGCAACTCACAACTGGCAACCCACTAAAACTAAGCAAATGTGAGCCTGGTCAGTACCTGGATGAGAGACCTCCTGGGAAAAACTAAGGTTGCTGCTGGAAGAGGTGTTAGTGGGGCCAGCAGGGTGCGCTCACTATGTGGGTCCTAATGCCCCAGTATAGTGACGGGGACATTATACTGTAAACAGGCGCTGTCCTTCGGATGAGACGTAAAACCGAGGTCCTGACTATCTGTGGTCATTAAAAATCCCAGGGCATTTCTCGTAAAGAGTAGGGGTGTAACGCTGGTGTCCTGGCCAAATTTCCCATTGGCCCTTAGCAGTCATGGCGTTCTGGTGCACTATTGCTGCCGTCGCATCATCCAGGTGCACAGTGGTGGTGGTGGAGGGGAGTCCCCATGACCTGTAAAGTGCTTTGAGAGGAGTGTCCAGAAAGTGTAAGCAATTATTATTACTAGGAATTTGTCTTTTCACATACCCCAGCTTGCTCTCCATGAAACACACAGGTACACAGACAGGGAGAGAGAAGCTTGGGGTCAGAGTGCAGGGTCAGCCATTTATACAGCACCCTGGAGTAGCTGGGGTTAAGGACCTTGCTCAGGGGCCCAATGGAGTAGGATTCCTCTGCTGGTTGTGGGATTTGAACCAGCAACCTTCCAGCCACAGGCGAAGATCCTAAGCCACAGTGCCACCGCTCCACCCAGAGGTGGTGGATTTCATATGTGAACCTAGTTTACTGAGGGATGCAGAGTCAAGAAGAGAGAAGGGAACCAAAAAAGTATGACAAGCAGGGAGGAGGTGTGGGAATTATAAGATAAGATCACTTTATTAGCCATATACAATTATTTGCATTAGGAATTGCCTTTTCGCATACCCCAGCTTGCTCTCCATGAGACACAGACACAGACAGGGAGAGAAGCTTGTGGTCAGAATGCAGGGTCAGCCATTATACAGCGCCCCTGGAGCAGCTGGTGTTAAGGGCCTTGCTCAGGAGTCCAAAGGAGTAGGATTCCATAATCACTGAAATACTGTTTGAGAATAAAAGAATCGACGTTCTAACTGCTGGTTTGACCAAGATAGGGTTTTCTAACGGTTTGAAAACTTTATTTGCATTGTTAGCAAAGGGGAAAATTTTTAAATTTATAGAACCAAACAACACTTTCCTTGGTCTAATCAGGCGCAAATAGGAAAAGAGTTGGTAGCAAAATGAGTCAGTAAAACCATAAAATTTTAGTTTTTAGAAAGAGTACTGATAATTTTTAATCAACATTGACTTCAAACCAGCAGAGTTTGCCTCTTACTTCTACATTATTTTTAAGATTTTGAGTTATGGATGTGAGTTGCAGTCTCATGTTCGGCATCCAATGTGTTGTGATACTTTGATTTGGTGGAAACGTACGATGAAAATCCGATAAAACAGGATATTCGTTTTTGGTGCTGCACCAAAACTCTGCCAACTGCATTTCATTAAAAGCTGTTTGTAAGGAAGAGTCCGAAATCAGGTCAGTGAACTTCTCATATTCTTGTGACGTGAAGTCTCAAGGTTCCCTGAAACTATGAATGGATTTTTAACACAGGAGTAATTCTGCAGTATTTCATCCTGCTCATTTGGGAAGTACTCCATGAAAGATTCACGTAGGTTTAAATGTTGGATGATTTCTTCAGGTTCATCAAGCACTTGGTTGTCCTCATCAAACTCTTCACAAAAGCTTTTCAGTGTTGCGAAATAATCGAGCTTGTGCCGTTGTACGCTGCTAACCCAAACTTCTAGCTTTTGAAAGGCACGAATTTTATCACTGGCTTTGAATACAGTCGTATTCATCTGCAATGCCAGATTATTTCAATTATTTTTTGTAACTATGTCCACTAGGTAAGCCAGGTAAACTAGGTAAGCTTCCCATGTCATCGCAGAGGATTTTGAACAGCTTCGTATTCAGTGGCCGGGATTTTATTAAGTTTATCATTTTTACGGCTCCTTCGAGGTTTTGATTCTAGCTATGGCTCCAGATGTTGTTCCCACCGTTGCCTTCGCTTCTTCCATACAAACGTCAACGCAGTTTTCCCACAGTATTTCATTTTTCTAAAAAAGTATTCAACGTATTTAATATTTCAACTCCATTTGTATTAGTAATGGTTCACACAAAAGAAGGTACTCTTCCACAGATTGCTGGTGCTGATACCTCACAAACACAAGCAACACTGCTAGTCCTGTAACATCTGTGGACTCATCCATTTGCAGAGCAAAGTTAGGTTGCTTTAGTTGGGATATTAGTTCAGTCCTCACGTCTATTACCAAGTCCTTTATACGGCAAGCAACTTTATTATTTGAAAAGGGCACTAGTGATATCTGCTTAGCATGCTTTTCATCCCACATCTGTTTGACCAGATCGATAGCACATGGCTTTACAAGCTTTTCTGCTATTGTATGTTGCATGTCCCTTAGTGGCTTTTTCTTTCACAGTCTGTTATGCCTGAACCATTTACGTTTTTATTTTTAAAAGTTCATTTAGCTTCTGAATGAAAAAATCAGTGTTCTTGGTCACGGAACCCCTGTGGACACAGTTTGAGAACCACTGCTCTAGAGGATCAGAGGTAGAGAAACAAGATTAGAAGAATAGAACAGAATTTGCAAGCCTAGGATCGCCAGTTGTGGAAATTTACAGAGTGTGAGGGGGAAGTGTTAGAAACAGGTAATTCCAGTTTGATAAGAACAGCTAAGTGATCAGAGAGGCCTAGATCAAAGGAAAAGTAGTGGGAAACAAAAGAGTCAATTTGCAATTATTCACTCTAGGGAGTGTCCTTTGTTATGTGTAGGGCTATGAACAAGCTAAATCAAAGTACCCCAGCAGTGCTAGAAAATCCTTAGCCAAACAGGAAGACCTTGAGTCAATGTGTATATTAACTTCCCCAAGAATAAGGATCCACTTAAATCTGAGGCATAAAAATGAAAGTAAATCAACAAACTCACCTAAAAAAGGCTTCTTAGGTTTGGGAGGTCTATAAACTGTGGCAATGATAGTAGAGTGGGGAACAGAGACATGTTAAACAAGACACTCAAAAGAAAATGGAAGAGGTACAATAATGGGACTTAAATTGAAAAGAAGATTGTAAATAGCAATGATGCCCCCACCTCTACCTGAGAGATGCGAGAGGTCAAACAACCTGTACCCAGGAGGGACTAGTTGGTTAAACAGGAGACCATCGTTTTGTCTGTACCAGGTTTCAGTTAAGCACAGAAAGTCCCGTTTTTAATCTGTAATAAAGTCTTATTGTTCACAGAGCGGGTTTTTAGTAGAGCTGATCTGGCTAGTCTTGAGGATCCAGGGGGAAGCAGAGTGGATTCCAAGTGCGTTGGTGAGAGTAGAATTTTGAGGTTGAGGCCGGTGCGGGATGGACTTGCAGTCTTGCGACGAGAGGCAGGGATAGAGACTCCGCAGGTAGACGAAGGAAAGTAACGGCATCCTGTTCCATGATAGATGTAATGCATCGGTAGTAAGATCCCAATATTATGGCAATAATCAAACGTGTCTTTTATCAGGAAATAATTCTGTTTTAGTTGCAGCAGTTGCGGTGAGGTGTACCTTAGAAGTATGTTCAATGGATCCACAGCAATGCAACAAGATGGGAAGGACATCCTGAATCAATGCAGTAGTAGGTGGTTAAAAGTCCTGAGATGAACAGTTTCATCGGGTAGAAACAGCAGTCACAATGCAAGTGGAAGTCACATTTGTTAATTCAAACATGAAGCGAATAAAAATAAATAATTAGAAACCAGGGCGGCGGATAAAGAAAAAAGAATAAAAAGTTAATTTAACATTTTAAAAAAAAAGAAAAAATGTAAAACTGGTGAGAGGAACGGCAGCCAAGCACGCCAGCGTTCTCTCTCAGCTGGAACCGGATTGAGCTAAACTTCTTTTCCTTGCAAAGCAGGGGTCATAGGAAAGGATTCTTTTGGGAGGCCAGAAGCAGCATGAGAACTAATTTGCATCTTGTAATTAACAGTTCAATGATCTGGAAGTCTGGAATATGGGATCTGCACATTGTAAAACTGACAACTTTGACATTGTAAGATTGATAACTAGATTGCTTATAGTAATTGAGATACTCTGTTCAGATAGAAAACTTTTAATTTTCATTAAAAATGACTATTCCTTCCATCCATCAATTTTCTAACTGCTTCATCCAATTCAGGATAGCAGGGGAGCCAGCGCCTATCATGGCAAGCAGTAGGTGTGGGGCAGGGTACACTTTGGATGGGACGCCAGTCCATCACATGGCACACAAGCCCATAAACTTACCAGCATGTCTACCGGCAGGAAACTGGAGCACCCTAAGGAAACTCTCATGAAAACAGCAAGAACCTACAGTACAAACTCTGTGCAGATAGCACCCCAGGTCTGAAATTGAACCCAGGGCCCCAGAACTGTGAGGCAACAATGCTGGCCGCTGTGCCACCATGCCGTCCTCTTAAAAACATAAGACAAAATGATAAGGTATCAGAGCATTGTATTTGTAAGTGAATCACATAGTACAATCATACTTGGAGACAAGAATCAGTGACTTAATGTATAGTATATAATGTTTAGTTGAGACACTCATCCACCCTTCCATTATCAATCTGCTTTTCGTGGTATGGGAGGCATCTAGGTGAGGCCTGTATTTGCATATTTATAAATAACTTAAAACTGGGATTCAAAGTACACGATCATTGAATCTTTGTATTGTTAAGGTTTTTGGAGAGGTGGACATATGACCTTTGAAACAATTTTCTTCAGTTGTGGACTGTGTGAGGACAATTCTCTTCAGTTGTGAACTTTGAGGATAAAATGTGTTGCCACTGTAATATTGTACTCTTGAAATAGATAATGTTCTACTTACTTTCTCATTTTTTCTTCCATAGGAAACAGATGGAGAAGACAGAACTGGGATGACTGGAGAAGGAGACAGAGACTCCAAACCAGACACAGATACTCCTGAAGCACCTCCATCTGTAGATAACACTCCTAAAGTTTTAAACAAATTTCTGGCAGGGCTTTCTTCAAGGTAGGCTCTAGTCAGCACGCTACTTTACACATTACTATTTTACATTCTTTTTCTTTAAAATGAGACTGCATATGAAATACAATAATGCATCTGAAGACACGAGTCTTTGTAAGCCATATTACCGCTGTGGTTAATTTTTCAATTTAAGTTAAATTTGACAATACCAAATTCTGTTTTCTGCTGTTGAATATACTGTAGAAGTATGTCTTCTCTTTTATGATGAGTTCTTTTATGGGAGAATTAGCTAATCAGAGAACACAGGAGAATTAAGGGGGGGATTATGTCCATCTAGCCCCTTAAAACAAGGCTTTTACTTTAAATATGAAATCAAACTGTAACATACAGAATCTTGATTTCAGCATAATTTGCTGAAATAACCTTGCTCCAAATTCCAGTAGTTTATGTTTTATATAAGTGAGTTTTGGCATAAATAGAATATTTAAGTGATTATTTTATTCTATACATTTATCAGTCTAAACAGAAATTGATCACAAGCACATTTTTCCTGAAGTGTTGCTTTATATGGATAGTGCACTGTATTTGGCAAGTACAATCATCTGATGCTGATGTTATTTCTTGCAGATGGAAGAACTGGTGGATTCGTGGGATTTTATCACTGACTATGATTTCTTTCTTCTTTCTGCTCATCTACATGGGGCCAGTGGTGCTAATATTAACGGTATGTTTCTCAGAGAGAAGTGCAGTAATACTCTGACATAGTGTTTCCATTTATATCAGTCATGCTTGCATAAGTATTAAAACCCTTTGATGTGGAGATTAATTTAGTTACACAAAATTCCTTTAGCTTCAGAATTTCAAATAAATAGTACTTGAGAAATTTACTTGTTAGCAGACATATCCATTAAGGTTCTTTTTTACAAAATGTTTTATACTATTTATACTATACATAATAGTATAAATATACTAAGTTATTATATGTTGTACTTTATATTATTTTATTCATATGGTTTGTTTTATATTATAAGAAAATTATATTTATTTCATTTTTAAGGCTGTTTCTTCCAAATGTAGTTATTGTTCTAGTAAATGAAGGTGCTCTTATTTGTATCTGCAATAGTTTGTCTCACTGTATCCATGCATTATCCATGATTTATCTAGTGGTTGAAACTGAACAGTCTTTTGCAAGAGTTTTTTAAATCTTTTCTGTTTTTCTTCAGTGTCATGATTGAACGAGTTTTTATGGGACAGGTATTTAGGCTAAATCTCACTGAATTCAGTTAATTTTAAGCACACAAACTTCCAGAAAAATAAATAAAAAAATATTTTTCATGCTTGATAAAACAAATCATGTTGTTTTTCTTTTATTTTAGGTCATGGTTGTTCAAATCAAATGCTTCCAAGAGATTATAACCATTGGATACAGAGTTTATCACTCATATGACCTTCCATGGTTCAGAACATTAAGCTGGTGAGGACATTAGTACTGTATAAAATGAGAAAATAGCTGAATCTCAGTTACTGTGTTAACTTCCTTCTTTGTCAAAAAAGTCTGTTTAGCAGCATGTTGTGATATAAAAGTGCAGAAAATTGGTGTGAGTCTGTACGTCTCTGTGTGTGCCCTGTGATGGGCTGGTGTCCCATTCTGGTTGTATCTAACCTTTCACACATTCCTTGCTGGGATAGGTTTGGGCCACCCCACAACCCTGAATTGGAAGAAGTGGTTAAAAAATGGATGTATTTTCATTTCTTATAAACTAATAGAAAAATCATTGTTTCTGGTAGACTGTCAAAATCACCTAAAATACATCCAATTTGTCAATGAATTCAGGGCTTCTGAATGCAGAGTGCTGAATGAGGCCTGAATGCCTGGCATTTGAAATTTAAATTCAGGTGTCATAGATCCATAAATAATAAATAAACATTATAAATAATGTTGAGAACAATCTTAAGATTTGAGATGCCCGAGATTTGGGTGCCTGAAAGCTTGCTCAAAGCAAGGCAACTTGAAAGCTCCAATTTTCATTTGCAGTTAAAAGAAAAACCATGTTGCATTATAATAATTTACAAAAGTAACAGATTACATACAATTCTGAAAGAAGTTGATTAATAGTTGATACAATGATTTTCACAGATATTATTTTTCAGATTTTTTTCTCCAGAATTGTAATTGTTTTTGGGGTTGACATTGATTGGATCATACCTTACAGTCAGGGATTTCACAGCTAGCTGTAAGGATTCTGTTATGCTCGGGTGGGTCCCTGGTCTCCTCGGGGACTGCTCACATACACACAAGGAGCTCAACCCCACCCGGTGCTACTCGCACCAGATTTGGCATGCTCTCCCAGCCATCAGCCACTTCCGATTAGCTCTGATTAGCACAGCATTCAAGCTCTGCAGCACCATTGCTTGGGGTATGGTTATTGAGCTGCTCTCAGCCACACTTTATCCTGACCTTGGAGTTCTGTTTTTCAGTCCTGTCCTGGTAACTGGTGGTCTTATGCAGTCCCCCTCCTGCTTCCTGTTTCGTCCTGCTGCTGGCAGTCTTGTTCAAATCCAGACACATTCCTCTTATACTCATATACACACTATATTCTGGTGGTGGTGTACATTGGTTAATCACTATATCCTTAGCTTGTTGACCAAGAATGACTTTTGTGGTTTGAAATATGCCTCTAAACAATTGTTTGTCAGTGATAGCTGCTTCAGTTTACCAACTGAAGCTACCTCACCTGTAAGAATTGCTCTGACCTGTGTGTGGGACCAGTCCTCATCCTTCCTGTGCTAACTGGAGATTTGTAGTCGGGAACCAAGTTGATTAATAGTTCATAACAAATTTAGGGTATAAAATACAAAGGAATTGGTGATGTGATACCAAATTAATAAAAATATACAGTGACTATCTTGTAGTCCAAAAGATAGTGATGATTTTTTCCACATAGTCTTAGACAGCAAATGTAATTTAAGATAAGATCACTTATTAGCCACATACAATTTCTTACATTACAAATTTGTCTTTTTGCATACCCCAGCTTGCTCTCCATGAGACACACAGACAGGGAGAGACGCTTGGGGTCAGAGCACGGGGTCAGCTATTGTACAGCACCCCTGGAGCAGCTGGAGTTAAGGGCCTTGCTCAGGGGCCCAAACAGAGTAGGATTCCTCTGCTGACCACGGGATTTGAACCTTCCAGCCACAGGCGCAGATCCTCAGCCACAGAGCCACCACTCCGCCCTACAATTCCAATATGAATTTTTCTCAATATTTTTAAGCAAATTGATGATGATAAAACTGTTGAATATATGTTTAGGATTTGCTTGTCTCTTTTTAACTACAGGTACTTCCTGATTTGTGTGAATTATTTTTTCTATGGGGAAACTGTGGCAGACTACTTCGGTGCCTTGGTTCAGAGGGAGGAGCCCTTGCAGTTTCTGGTTCGATACCACCGATTCATTTCCTTTGCATTGTACTTGGCAGGTAAAGAGGTGATACCCTTTCTTGAAGAGGAACCTTGTTATTCTGATAAATAGGAAATAGAAGTAACAATATTTATGGTTTTCTAGAAAATATATGACTGAATAATAGCATTTTTGTAATTGCTTGTGGACCGAGACTAAAAGGACTACGATGAACATGTGTCATAGAGACTTGTGAGCAGAGACTTGTTTTCCTCCCGGACAGTTCACCTGTTATGTATAATGTTGTGTTTTCACAAGAGGTTGACCAGTGGAGTCCCTGTTTATAAATATGTCAGCAAGTAGTACAGCTGGACAGGTGTGTGGGAAGTTTCAAGATAATGAGGAACAAGTAAAGGTTGATTCCATGCAAAAAAGAAAAGAAAAGAGACCTGAAGAAGGCTCCATAGTCAAAGTATTGTGTCTCTTTTCTTTTTAGCATGGAATAAACCTTTACTTGTTCCATTTGTTTCACTCTTTGTGTAGTGCCTGTTTGAGAAACAATTAAACAGATGTGTTAAATTGGTGAAACACTTAAAATTGAAAGGTTTGTTAAAAGTGAAGCTTTTGCACACTTAGTTTAACATTAAAAAAGGTATAGTGGATTTTACTTATTACTGTAATGAATTCTAAAGATAATGGACACCAGATGGAAACAGTTCCACACAATGAGAGAAAATTTCAGTGCATTGTACAGTGTTGTAATTCACATTGCGCAATGAGAGGAAAAGACAAGCCAGGAGTCATATATTATGTTTATAATGTACAGCTCTAAAAACAGTGATTATGGATTATGTGCCATTGATACTTTTTTCCTTATTTCTGATATTTTAATGAAAATATCTCATGAAAAGGCTAAAATACTATGAAACACAATGGGAAGCAGTAGCAATTTCTTATGTTTCCTGGTACTGTATGTGGAGCAAATTGGGAGCTTTTCTTCAGCATGTTTAGTATTAATTTAATGTAAGTCTTCAATAACCGTTCGTGGTGGTGG